TCGTGGACGGGAATAACGACACCCGGTGCGAAGCGGTCGGCGTGGTCTGTGCAGGTAACCGACGGGCCTCTGGAGCTCCTCACCAGCTTGTTTAGTCCCAGTTTTCCGCTTCAGAGCGAAAATATTCATTCGTTTGACAAATAGGGATAAAAAAAACATGCAAAAAGACACAAAAACCATGAAAAAAACATACAAAAAGACACAAAAAACATGAAAAACACTAAAAGACACAGATGAATATTAAAAAAAACGTCAAATAACAACAAAAAATGACCAAAAAGAATATTAATTTGACCGATAATAATAATAAACTTTAAAAAAAATACGTAAAAAACACTAAAATAATCTAATGATTATCACAAATACATTTTAAAAAATGTAAACGACAACCAAAGAGGAAAAATAAGTTACAATACAGGAACAGCAAACCAGGCAAAAGACTAAAAAACAGTTACAATAACAACAGGACGAGACACTAAATTAGCATATTTGAAAAATTGGGGGCGGGACCACACTGGCACCGATCAAGATGGCCAAAAGGTTCTCTGCCCAGAGGGCCCTGGAATTGATTTTGGATGAGAGAGAGAAGTTAAGATAAGGTAAACATTTGTTCAGTATTTTAATATAAAAGTGCTTGAATTTGAGGCATTAAAAGCCACAAAATGCAACGGGTCCATCAATTCAATTCAATTCAATTCAATTTTATTTATATAGCGCCACATCACAACAACAGTTGTCTCACAGCGCTTTAAAAAAAGAGCAGGTCAGACCCTAATCTGAAGTTAATTACAGAAACCCAACAATTCCGACCATGAGCAAGCACTAGGCGACACAGGCAAGGAAAAACTTCCATCAGACGCACAAACACTGGCTGAGTAACAACAATATGAACACCACACAAGGGTTAAAACCACTTTCACCGACTTGCCTAAACCGCATCGAAATAACAACTCTCTCCTGTGGTCGGTTTGCTCCACGCCAGGTAGCGTCAAGCCAAGATTGCGCAGCTCCACGAAGAAATGCTCCGGGGACGTCCAGGTGCGGTACAAGGGCCGCTGGGTCCCGGCCGAGGTGGGAGACCTAAAGGCCCAGAACGCCGTCTGCAGAGAGCTGAAGTGTGGAGAAGCCGTCAAACACCTGGAGCCCTTCGGACCCCCAACCGACACGGTCATACAGCTCAACTGCACCACGGATAGCTCTAAGTTAGCCACATGTAGCATCACGGCTAAGGAGCTGCAGACCAGCACCCCCAGAGGCCTCCGGTGCTCCGGTAGGAAAAACCCCTCTGACTCTAACTCTTACTAGCCCGATTCTTTAGCTGGAAACCTGAGAATAAACCAGTGTAGATCATGATTAACTCATTGACTGCCAGCCATTTTCAGAACAGAGTCCCATACTGCCAGAGTTTTTTGAGCATTTTGACTGATTTTTTAAGAGCCACAGAATAGTTTGTGCTATGAGTATCTAAACACCGAACACACCAAAAGAAAGAGTAGACTCTCTTCTTTCATCAGGAAAAAATGTTTGTTTCTACCTTATTCCGTTCTTCCTCGACGTGCGTCTCACCGGCGACATGTTCTCTCATAGCGAACCGTTAGCTTTTTCTTATTTGCCTACAGTCTATGCTCATCTCCCATCAAAAGTGGCACTGCCACCTACAGGGTCAATTTGTTACTACATACTCTGTCTAGAAGCCTGATATTTACGGACAAGCTTTAGCAGATCGTCCCCCAGCCACTCTGGTTGAAAAACATAAAAGACGTCTATAAGTGTCTTTGGCAGCCAATGAGTTAAGTAAAGTCAAGTCAAGTAGGCTTTATTGTCAATTTATTTACATGCGTTGGTCATACAGAGAATTGAAATTTCGTTTCTTGCTTTCCCGTGCAGACATAGACATGAATTAGATGAGTTAGATAAATTACACATATAATAAGAAAATTGTGTGATATAATAATTATAAAGTGATCAATTGGAATGTGCAATATTTACAATACAGTCATTCAAGTAACAGGCAGGAAGAAAGCGGCAGAGATGTGTGTGTGTGTGTATATTTGTGTGTATGTATGTTTTTGAGATGGTTCAGTGTGTGTGTGTGCACTTTTGAGTCAATCCAGTGTGTGTGTGTGCTTTGAGTCTGCTCTTTGCTGGATCTTTGGGGTTGTACATGGAAAGAAGTGTGGAGGTGAAGGTGAGGCACCTCTGAGCCTGTGAGCCTGTGTCTCATTTGCATTTAAAGAGACAGGCACTCCAAAGCGAGCGCTCTGAACGGGGCTGTTTTGGGTTAGGGTTAGGGTTAGGGTTAGGGTTAGGCAGGGGGACTGAACTGCTATTGGGCTTCATCCTTATGGGATTTTGACCAAAGTTTGTCACAGACATTACATCAGGACACCAGGGAACTAGGTTAACTTGTTGAAATAGGGTATAATATGTCTCCTTTAACATATCAATATCATCCACATGATCAACATTAACATTTTAACTCATTGCCTGCCAAAGACGTCTATAGACGTCTTTTATGTTTTTCAACGAGAGTGGCTTGGGGGACGATCTGCTAAAGCTTGTCCGTAAATATCGTCTTCTAGACAGAGTATGTAGTAACAAATTGACCCTCTAGGGGGCAGTGCCACTTTTGATGGGAGATGAGCATAGACTGTAGGCAAATAAGAAAAAGGTAACGGTTCGCTATGAGAGAACATGTCGCCGGTGAAGGAAGAACGCCAGGAAGAACGGAATAAGGTAGAAACAAAAAATTTTCCTGATGAAAGAAGAGAGTCTACTCTTTCTTTTGGTGTGTTCGGTGTTTACATAGTCATAGCACAAACTATTCTGTGGCTCTTGAAAAATCAGTCAAAATGCTAAAAAAAAAAACTCTGGCACTATGGGACTCTCCGTTCTGAAAATGGCTGGCAGTCAATGAGTTAAATTACAATCTTACACACATACAACTGAGTTCCCCCGCTAACCACCCGTTTGTCCCCTCTCAGAGTGGCGGGACATAACCCTGGAGAGCGACCGGGCCTGTCAGGGAGACGTGGTGGTTTACTCCCGGGGGGAAAGAAGCTACGTCCCCAGCCACGGCTGGACGGAGACGGAGGCGGAGCGGCTCTGTCAGGACCTAAACTGCGGGAGATTCAAGAGGAATTCGATCCGGGAGAAACCACGGACTCCACAACAACCCCTTTGGAACCATCATTTTTCCTGTGGAAACAAATCAGCCAGCATCTGGGACTGTGAACGCACCGCCCCACCTGCCAATAACAACACACTCTTCCTCGAATGTGAAAGTAAGGTCGTTTTTGATGGATCCGACTAATTATTTCCTATAAAAATAGAAGTTTGA